CCCTGTTTTCTTCATGTTAAATGACACGTCGAGGGGGGGATACTCATGCTACAACAACTAGCATGAGTAATAAATCAAATAGCATAAAATAAAAAATAATAATAAATCGCCCTCACAGCTGATCCAGGCAATCCTTGGTGTCACCGACGCGTAAATTACAGTCTGTGCCTCCGTGAGCCAACAAACTGCAGGCCTGCGTAGTTCCGTCCGCGCATCTTCGTGTCAAACGACATTCACCGCTGACAGGCAGGACGGTCGGCAGGCTGCCATAATCCGCATCCTTCCCCCTGCCCGACACGTTCTCTCTGTTCTCCGCCTTCAAGTCTTTCACCTCCTCCTCCTCCTCCATCTACCCCTTTGCATCCATCAGAGCTGCAAGAGCGCGAGCATCACCTCCGTCAAGTTAGCTTACATAGCCACACAATTTCCTCTAATACTTTTCAAAATAAAACAATTTACACCGATTACGCCTGCATAAGCAAAAAAGCATGAAAGGCCCACATTTTTACCCCAATGGGTTCTAAAATTAGACGGCACTGATTATTTGCAGCTCTACACATTGACGGTAACACATCACGTGTCAAACCACTGCAGAAGGCTTGGAGTATACGCCTTTCTTAAAGAGGATTTAACTTAAAACAAGGTTGTTTAAAAGGAACTGCCTGGTTTACAGTACTTTCTTTATAATTCCTTAGTTTTCAGTTTTACAACAGAAAAGGTTACACTTGGTTCCATTTAAATTAAATCGCTCTTGTTTCCTCGACATTTCTTTCTGTATAGCCTGTAATGCTTTCATATCGTCTTTTATTCTGAAGCCGCGGTATTGTAGGTCTCGCAGGTTGTTTGGAAACTGTCCCTAAGAAACATTGCATCCTGGGGAATGTAGTTTTCACCAGTACTCCCTTGCAAATCATCAGTTCCAATATCAGAAACACACCAAACATTCATACAAAACTTCAGGGTGCTGTTTTATTATCTCAGACAACAAAGAGATGCATTACAAACGTTGCACACGATTTTATAAATATTGCTATGGAGACGAACTATAACTGCATAGATAACATAACACTATAACTGTATAACTGCGGCGTTAACACTAGACCCTACTATGTCCTTGAAGTGCTTGAATGGTATTATTCACAGTGTTTGTCATAATTCATGTAGACATTGGATTTTATGTTACACTTAATAATAATTACAATTAATGATTATAAGTATCCATTAGGCATTATTTTGTAAAATAGTTACTAAAAATGACAATGAACACAGTGTGAAGTTATCACATAATATTATATAACAGGAGGGTCCTTTTTCATTTAAAACACTTCTTTTGAACCTTGACAGATTGGTGGTCTCATGATGACCCTGCACGGTCCCAGAAGGAGGGGAGATGGAGGCAGGAGGCAGGTGCTAAAAAACTGCTCCCACCTTTCCTCTCCGTGCCTCCCATGGAGTCTTTACTGTGATGAAACAGTTCACACTGCTCCATCATCAGCGGGTCCAGGCCCTCCTGCCCTGAAGATGGAGAAGAAAAATCTTTAGAAAGGTACTGAAGAACATTTAGACCAAATCTGCTGTCTAATAAATATAAATCATTTGCCAAAAGCTTATTTAAATAATGTGGTTGTTCTTATCCAGTTTTAAAACACTGCAGGACTGGTGGGCAAATAAAGCCCCAAACAGGCTGCGTTTTTACAGTCTTTTCCTTAAATAATCCTTCTCCGTACAGTTTCATTAAGTAGGTTGAATTCAAACAGGTATCTACTAGTTAAAATTTCTTTATTCCATGAGCTAAAAAGACTTTAACCACATATAACACTGTTTTAAAAAAATGCAAAAGATACTGACTGGTTGAGGTCTTTGAGTCACAGTTTATTTGTTCTCCAGATTTGTCGATTTGAGATTCTGCTCTGCCCTCTGCTGGACACCACACTGCTAGAGGACTGGGATTACCCGCCCTACATACAAACACACACAAGAAACCATAGTGAGAAAGAGGAGAGGTAAGTGTTCACCTTAACCTCACACACAAATTAAATACATGGCAGGCAAAGGTGTTCATCCCGGACATGTATAACCTGTCATCTATGAACGTCAGTTCTTTGTATACAAAGGTCAGAGATTAGCTATCATCAAGACTTTCGCCTTATCACTATTTAACGGGTGATAAAAGTGATAAAGAAACAGTGTCATCATGTCGTGATTTCTTCTGGTCTATGGTCTAGGGACAGATATGTTTATTAAATTAGGTGAAGTGCAGGGAAAGTGTGACACTCACCAAGCCTGGGGGTCTGTAGTCCTGAAGCCCTTAGCAAATGGGTTGCTTGCAATTTTTAACTGAGTGATCTAAGAGGAGAGGTTAAAATAAATGGCATGAAAAGCAAAGAATCGCTTAATGCACACAAAAAAAAAATCAAAAATCAAACAGATAAAAACATTGTAATGTCATAATTTTTTTTTAGCTTGCATCTTGGTTCACTCAGTTCCGTACCCTGTGGTTTTGATAAGCAGTTACAGCCATGAAGCGTGTCTCAGGGAACGAGAAAGAGCAGAAGTTCTTGTATGCATTCAAGTGGCTGTTCGGCGTTGGATCTACATACACCACATGGAAGCGCGGTTGATAGCGATGCATGGAGTTCAGTATCATCTGGAAGTGGGGGGACATGAGAAAACACAAATAGCTTAGTACTTATTGTTGCACACTGCTATGATCTCTTTTTCTGGCCTTCAAAGTCTGCTCCATTGGAATCTTTTAGCGAAGCTTTGCATGATTCACAATTCAAAATAATCCTTACTACAGCTCCTCAGTTAATGTTCTGTGCGAAAAAGCCCGTTTAGCATCATAGCCCCTCATTTAAGACATTCACTAACATGTCCGTTGTCATCCAGCAGGTTGTTGGTGAGCTTTAGGCTGTCAAAGGACACAGTCTGCTTCATCCACTGGGCTCCACGGGCAGGTGAGTCTGGGTGGAAATGCATCCTGCTTGGGGCTGCGACATCTGCTCTTCCCGCCACTAACCAGGATGAGCTGTGGAATGCATATCTGACACACACACACACACACACACACACACAAAAGTGTAAAATGTTCAAAGCAGGACTTACAGAGCATTGATGCTTGCAGAATTGTATTCGTGCAAATAACACAACTGTTAAACATCACAAATACACTAAACACAGTTATGCAGGTTGTGTTTCTGACCTGTATCTTTTGCTGTCGACAGGGATAAAATCCATGAGAAGAACATATTCGGCAGAGGGATCCATCCCAGAGATCCGTACCTGGAATGTCGGAAACATCCGCCTGCAAGTTAACAAACAGATTCTAGTGAGAGGTAGTGCAGGAAGACAAATAGGAAACATACAAGATATGATGTTTAGTAGGAGTATGCATAAATGTGAGGATTCTCATCACCTTCCTGCTTTGGTAACAATCATCTCTGTGCCCAGCTGGTCAAACTGCTGCCAAAGTGCCTGCATCTCCAGCTGAACTCTGACCCCACTGATCTGGGGGCACTTTGTGCTCGACAGTGACCCTTCGTCTGCGCAGCAGGGTAGAGACAGATCGCAGCTCTGAGACAGCTGAAGACCTGAGGAGAAGAGAGAATACAATTCTGTTCATATTTGTTGGAACAGATTCTGCCCATGAGCTTTGATGCGATAACTTGGAGTGCGAAACACTTACCATTCATAATTTCAACACCTCTTACTGATAACATAGATGGAGGTGCTATTTTGTTTTTTCCAGTCTTTTCATCCAGATCTAGTCAACACATTCACCCACAGTTTTGCAAAGCAACATGGGACTGAAAAGAACAATTTGTATTCCAGTTTTCAGGTGCTGCAGTAGATGTACATCCAGGTCTGTGGAGTGTCTGGTTGCAGTGAGAAACAAGCTGGTTTTATACACCATGAGGCTCTCACTGGGGACTTCCATGGTGGACTCATCCATTACAATATTCACGGTGCCATTGACACACACTAATCACAGATGCACTCACTTGCCGCCCTGAGAACAGTTAAGGCAAAAATGTGCGCGTGCACACACACATGTAGAACTCTCTGCTCTATTACCTATTGTTTCTTATGGCCTGGAGCAATAAGTGAAGCTCGTCCTAACCAACCTTTAGCACATTAATAACACCCTAATCGGTCCAGTGTTACAGGGTGCAGACAGATGAGGACATCATCGAGCTGCTTTTTATTATTCAGAGTATTTTCTGGGAGCAGATTTTCAACACCTTACTAATTAACGAACCGGTTACTCCTTAACACTGACCAAGGTATACATTTCTGAGGCTGGTTAGAAGCAAGACTCTGGCATGTTTAAACATCATCTCTTGTCAAGGATCCACTGATGAATGTTGTTGTTGTTTTTTTTAGATTTTGGAGAAAGTTCATCTCACAGTGTTGTTGTGCAAATCATCTTGGGTTGCATGATGACCAGACAACTACTGTTCATATAAGAACTCTATGCGTGTGTGTGTGTGTGTGTGTGTGTGTGTGTGTGTGTGTGTGTGTGTGTGTGTGTGTGTGTGTGTGTGTGTGTGTGTGTGTGTGTGTAGCTCAATGGGACAGTGTTGAAGGGATCCAGCCTGGAGGGTAGCAGCACACAGCAGAAAGAATGCTTTTCTCCAATAAAGCACAAGACATAAGTTGTCAATAGACCGGTCACTGTGTGATCAAGTCATTAATCACGGCTTTTGGTGTTCACAAACAGAAATGTCTCATGTGCTATCGTACACCATTCCTAAGTACAACTGATTGTATTAATATTCTTCTCTAGCAGACCTTTCTGATCAATGATGACCTCTTAAAATGCTGTGTGTGTCTGTGTGACATAACCTTAGGGGTTCACTGAGGTCTTAAACACTCTAATGAATCTGAATATGAGCATTGATAACCCTAAAAAAGGCGTAGATGTTCAATGCTACTGTTGGGGAATTCTAGGATGAGGAAAAGTTTTACATATCATATAGGAGAGAAAAATCATTTCAGAGTAGTATAAACAGTCAGATGTTTATTGAGCTGTAATTCATCAAGGCACACTTTTCGTCAGACAAGCGTCATTACACAGGAGTTTGAGCACGTGCAATAATTCACATATGATTGCTACACAAAAAGTTGGGCACAGAATGTGAAGAATAGAGCAATTATGTGCTGAGTATCTACACGTCTGTGTGTTTGGGAGCTTGTGCTTGATCATGTATGCATGAAGTAAGCTGGGGAAGAGAGAGTCCTGCCGTTTAATTCATCAGCAAGGCTAAATTTTAGGGAAGTGGTCTGTTTGTGAAGAAAGAAGGAATCGAGAGAAATTTGGAATGGATCTAGACATGATAGGAAAGGGAGGTTAGTTATAGGAACAGGGTAGGGAGGATTTAGCTCTTGAAGGTTTCGGAAACGATTGCAAAGATTTGCTGGAGCTTTGCCTTGATGTCTTCGGTCAGAGGATGAATCTTCTCCTTCAGGGCAGTAAGGTCTTCAGTTTTGACGTTTTGTGCATGGTCGTAGGCCTGCCTCAGCTGCTCCTTGTATTCTTCAACATAGGGAGCCAACTTTTCCCTTGCTTGTTCCACGTGTGTAGCAACCCTGGCACGAATACTCTCTACAATGGGTGTCAACGCAGCCTTGGTCTCTTCCACATTGGTGCGAATCTTCTCACGCAGCTCAGTCATAATGGGCTCCAGCTTTGTCTTCATTTCTTCCATTTCAGCTGTGTGCTTGGCATGGTACTCTCTGACCATGGGCTCGAGCTGGCTGCGGTATTCCGCCATGTGTCTCTCAATGACTTCCCTCAGTTGAGCACGTTTGGGTTCCAGCTCGACTCTCAGGGCCTCAATATCAGTCACAATGCTGTTACGTAAGTCAGCAGTGGCTTCAGAGACTGTGGTAAAGACGCTGTCGGTCACAGGAGAAACGGAAGCCTGCAGAGTCTTGATCTGAGTGTGCAGGCCCTCCAGGCGCTGAGCCAGGGTGGTCCTGAGAGAGAACAGAGATAGGAAAGCAAAGCCATTTTAGTTAAGCTAAGTGTACACACCAAATGTCGACTGCAAAGTGTAAAAACTGACTAAGGCAGGAAGTTAAACGAACCCCTGGCAATGCATGGACCAATTACAAAAAAGTGCGGCTGATGGACAAGAATGAGAATCTTTACTTGAGCTCTTGGTATGGAGTGTCATCAAGCTGGTCCAGGGCTTTGATGGCACCGTCCTTCGCCTGAGTCAGGTAGACATCCACAGCGGACCGGATTTGGTCCAGCTGGGAAGGTGCATCAGCCTGCAGGGAGGCAGCCTGAGAGCCTTTGGCAAGCGAAGAGGGAAAAACTTTTAAAGGGTAAAGTGGACCTGCTAAAGTTCCACCTGCATTTTAAATGATTTCCCTCAGGTTGGAAAGGGTGCGTTCAGTACTCACCGACAGCCAGGAGAAGAGTGAGAGCTAGAGCCACAAATTTCATGGTGATGGTCTAGAGCAGAAAAGCAGTTAATGATTAGGAAAGGAACATCCAACTGAATAGTGGGAATTCATTAATCCAACAGAGCTTGAATCCTGTGCCTAAAGCAGACTCAGTAGTCTTAGAAGTAAGAATGTCTTAACAGCCCAGCACATTGCTGAATTAGCCTGAATGAGTTTGCACTAAATGTATAGCAAGCTATTAAAGGAACTTGTAATCTGAGTAGATTACAGAGGATGATTAAGGAGATCAGACCTAAGCTGCTACATAATCCTGTTTCAGCTTTTGCTGTAAAACACGGTCATAGAATTAGCAGGAGACGCTCTTGGTGGAGAAGCACTGCTGCAAAATTACCTCAGGCTAAAGAGAACAATCCCAAAGTTATATCTAATAAAATAAAAAATACAAAAAGTCAGAATTAAGAATTTTACTTCCAGCAATTTCTTTTTTTTCCCTTTGTTTATCAACTTAGTTCTAACAAAAAGTTCCCCTACACTTAGTCCTCTCCGGCTTCCAATTCTGTTCTGCGAGTACCGCAAAGTTGCTTCTCTTACCTGGTGGAGTTCTGGACGAGACTGAACAACTTCAGCGGGGGCAGACTTTTTATAGTCCCTTGGTGGGGGACGAGTCCATGTGGAGAAGGGGGAGGGTGGAGGTGTGAGGTCTGTGTGTCTCCGTGGAGGTGGACCTCAGCCCCCTGTTATCTCCATCAGCAGGAGGACTGGGGTGACAGTTCAATGGTCATCTAGTGGGAGGAGATCAGTCTGCACACACGCATCGACGCACACCATTAACACACAAATATACATTATCAGTATCATATGCGTATCGGTGAATCAGTCCTCCCCGTTTACCAGTTTTTTCTTTCTCTCTTTTAAAAAAAAAAAAAAACTCCGTCTGCTTCTTCTGGGACATCTGTCAGCACCTTTTTCTGCTTCACGAGGACTTTTTCGCATTTGTCTTGTGACCAAATTGTTGCAGAAAAACATGAAAGGCTGACAAGAACAAAGTAAAAATGCCAGTTCAGTGTGAAGACTGAGCCAGGAAGATTGTGAAATTAGAAAGGAAGTGCGAATATTATTATGGGTGTAAAGGGTGACACGAGAGGAGAGCTTGATTGGGCTGGTGGGAAGGTGGGAGGGGGGTGAAAATGAGGACAAGGGTTGAAAATATTACCTGGGTAAACACATTTCCCAGCAGTCTCTTGTATTTTTCTACATTTTTCACATTCAGTTCACACCAGGTTCTGTAATGGGGAAAGCCACATCCTTCACAGTCCAACTCCTTTCTAAAAAAGCTGCCAGGGTAAACAGACACGAGTAAACAGAAGACAGTGACTTGATGCAATCAGCTCAGAAATGCAGTCATATTAAATCTAAAGTCATTAAATCACAGGCGGCAACTATACACACGCGTTCACGCACAAGCAATGCCACATAACATGCAACCTAAAAAAATGTAGACTCATTTTAGATAACAAATTCTCTCACTGGCGTGTTTGCGATGATGACTAATAAGGTCAAAGAGTGATGTTTGCTATGCTGTTGTTTGTTGTCCTATCCCCGGTGGACTTTGTCACTGTAGCTTCATGTGATTTTGGGAATAGGAATGAACATAGTGCAAAGATTTGTCTCTAAGTCTGTGCATGAATATGTCTACTGGGAGTACTTTCATATCTTTCGTTTTTATTTGAAAAGAAGTTGCTGTCAAAAGAGATGGGAGCATAATTTTTATATTTCAGTTGTATTTTAGTAGCCCCTCATCGCTCATGTGCTGAAATCTGAATATTGAGATGGTTTCTGTACCTGAGGAAAGTCATAGAGAGACATGTAGAGTCAATTTGAAGAATTTCATTCAAGCACTAGTGAACATCAATAATGCCCTTTTTATGGCCTTTACATCTTAAAAACCTCATAGTACAATATCATCCTAATAGAGCTCTCTGCTCTCAGACTGCAGGTTTACTTGGTCCTAGCATATTTAAAAGTAGAATGGGAGGCAGAGTCTTCAGCTTTCAGGCCTCTCTTCTGTGGAACCAGCTCCCAGTTTGCGTTCAGGAGACAGACACCATCTCTACTTTTAAGATTAGGCTTAAAACATTCATCTTTGATGAAGCATATACTTAGGGCTGGATCAGGTGACTCTGAATCCTCCCTTAGTTACATTATGATAAGCCTAGGCTGCTCGGGGCTTTCATGGATGTACTGAGCGTTTCTTCTTCACTCCCCTTTTCTTCGCTCTTTATGTGTTTATACATGACTACTGCATTCATTCATAGTGATTCATTTCAATTTTAATCTCTGGCTCAGTGTGTGTTTTGTCCTATTTTCCTCCCCTAATCCCCAACCAGCAGATGGCTGCACCTTCCTGAGCCTCGTCCTGCTTGAGGTTTCTTCCTGTTAAAAGGGAGTTTTTCCCTCCCACTGTCACCAAGTGTTTGCTCATGAGGCATACGACACACCAATAGGTCACTATTGCTGTGATGTGGCACTATATATAAAAAAGGAATACAATTTAACTGAATTATACTCTGGGCCATATCTGCAGATTTAAAACTTGTGTATTGCTGGGTTGTTAGGTGCAGTGTTGCACAATAAAAGTTCCAGAAGCCTATGTAATCAATGAACGTTTCTTTGAATGCAATCTCTGTGTGATTGCAACATAAGAGCAAGCAACATGTTGCAGGATACTACCCAAAGAATTTACCTAATGGAAGAGTATTATAAAGTCTGCAAAATGAAGACAGTAGAAGGCTTTGACTCTAGACTTTCATGTCAGAATCATTCCTTGTTTCATAAAGTCTTAAAAAATATTAAGGATTTAAAATGATTTTTAAAAACTGGAAACATCAACTTTTCCTCCACAGCTCTGCACACACGTAGAGGTAGAAATATAGAGGATTCAAGTAATCAAATGTTGACTTGATATGTACAGTAGTAGAAAAAAGTGTTTGCACATGGCCTGATGTGAAGCTCAGTGTAGTTTGTGACATTGTGTTTGAGTTTTCTGCCTGAACAAAATTCCAGATTAGTTTTGGTGTATTTTCACAATTAGCAGCAGTTCTATTCATTTAAAAGTCTAAATGTTTTTTCTCCCCACTTTCATTTGTCTTTGCTGTTCATTCTTTGACACCTTGGTGTCTTTTTTCTACCCCCGTGTCTTGAAGTATGCAAGGAGTCAAGCTGAGCCTGGTGACTCGGTGAGGAGTCACCCACGTCTACCACGTTCACAGCTTCTTCTTTTTTAATCACCACCTGCCATTTGTCTGACACCAATTAACAAATGCCAGCAGTCAAGGTGAAACACAAATCACTGGTAAACATCTTGATGGAAGCCTGGAATGCATTAATTATAAAAACACTGCACCAGTGCCAGATTACATCGGTAAGTTGTTTTCCATTTATAAAGCCAAGTATTTTATGCCACTGCAATGTCACAAATTACTGCTTTACTCAGGCTATAGAATAGAATAGAATAGAATAGAATAGAATAGCCCTTTATTGTCATTGCATATATCCTACATATTTGGAATATATGCAATCTGGCGATACTGCCTTGAGCTCTGAAGCTGTGAGATGGACTTTCAATGACTTTCTGACAAAAAAAGTCCTCAGTGAAAATAATCGTTTGGTGCAGGCTCCCACTTGATACACCAGCCACATTAAAAGGCAGAACTGGTTGCCACGTTAGGTCACTGGGTTGATTTGGTGACCATATGCTGTCAGACTAATGAAAATGTTTGGGTTCAAACCTGCCCTTTTACTCTTTTTCTTCCCCTCCTCCTGGCTTTCCTGTCTTATCTCTATGCCCTTAATTATTTTAACGCCTGCTAAATTTTAAGTTTGCTCATTTACAATGAAGTGAACAAACTTTTTTTTTTTAGTAAGTTTTATTGTAATGTTTGTTAGTGATCTGGCTGTTGGAACCACAGTCACCAAGAATACCATTTTTAATACACTACGCTGTGATGAACTGAAATCTTACAGCACCCACATTGTTTACCCCACTCAAGAAAACACATGTAGATGTCTGTCTTAAGTTTGCCAGTGAACATCTAAATGATTCAGAGAAGGCCTTGGAGAAAGTGCTGTGGTCAGATGAAACCAAGATCAAGTTGTGTGGCATCACTTCTGTGTTTGGAGGGAGAGAAATGCTGAGTATGATGCAGAGAACACCATTCTCTGCATCATTCCCACAGTCAAGCACGGCAGTGGAAACATTATGTGTTTTTCTGCTAAGAGTGTAGGATGACTTTACCTCACTGGGGGGTCATTGACCATTAAAATCTTAGATGACTTTAATCAGCCAGAACACTGAAGATGGGTAATGGATGACCGAAACGTACCACCAAGACAACAAAGGAGTGACTAAAGAAGAAGCATATTAAAGTCACGGAGTGGCTTAGCCAGTCTCTAGACTTCAGTCCTATAGAAAATCTATGGTGGGAGCTGAAGTTTTGAATTACTAAGCAGCAGCTAAGAAACATAAAGGATTTAGAGAGTTTCTGTAAAGAGAAATGGACCAAAATCTGTCTTGAGACGTGTGCAAGGGTTTTTCTGCCAATTACTGAGCCATGCTTTACGTGGAGATCAATTACTTATTTAATTTCAGAGGCATATACATGTATAACTTTTTACGTAAAGTGTTCTTTCTAGATTTTTGGCTGATATTCTGTCTCTCGCAATTAAAATAATTCTACCATAAAAACTGGATAAATATAGTACTTGGACTGTCTTGTCACTTTGCAGTGATCTTGTGGGCTTTTGCCCTGAACCATAAGATTAGAATGTTCTGGATATCAGCTGCTCAGAGCTGCTGAGCAGGAATCTCATCAGAGGAATGACTCTTATCTGGAAGAATAACCTTTGAGACTGCTTGCGTCGCACGACGTTGATTCAGCATCCACACCGAGCAGTCCGTCTACATTACTGCTGTCATAACTGATATCAATAGGACCTCAGGACTCCTCGCTGGTGACTCAGCTGCTGAGGTTGCAGATTGTGTAGCAACACTGAACTCTTCTGATGGAGTAAGAATAATGTTAAAACCAAGCTCAAATGAGCTCATTATAGCTTATTAAAAGCACTGTCAGACAATATACATGCTTAATAAACATAATTTGAACATTCATTATCTGCATATGAGTTCCAAAACAAGCTGATTTTCAATCCTCTGCTGAGATTTCCACGAACGAGGCATATATAAGTGAACTCTTATGCAAACAGAAAGTTCTGATATTATGCTCCTGTCTTTGTCGTCATCATCATTTTGACAAGCGTTTGAGGGGATATAGTAGGTGAGTTATTCTGATTTCCCTATGAGACGTAGATATTTGGGGCAAAAAAAAGAAGAAGTTAGTTTTCAAGTCAGTTTTAATGTATGCCTCATTTCTTCAGAGGACGTTGATAAATATTTCATCATTCAAACCCACCGTCTGATCAGGCACTGGCTGAGGTTCAAAGGTCACGTCACTGTTCCAGCTGCCTCCATGATGGAGCACTGCTCTCTGATCAGCAGGGGAGGTTATCTCAGCTGTAAGCAACAGTGCGGCGCACTCACTGGCTTTGTCAAACACATACACGCCGCTTCAGGTCGGCCATACGCACGTCTGTTTAATTGTCCGTAGGTAGTTTTGCAATGTCACAGCTGCTGAGGCCCCTTTGGTTTTAATACAGATATTTGGCCCAGAGCCCTGCATGGAGAGTGTCACTGTAGGTTGCATCGCCCTGTGGGCTGTACAGCTTGACAGGGCGATGCTGTACAGCAGAAAATCTGCCGTGAACTCGAATAACCTGAGAAGTGCAGCCATGGTGATATACAGTTGAGAACTCTGATTCAACTGTAAGTCTCTACACACACAGACTCTTTCGCTTGACAAATGCTCATGTAATCAGAGAATAACGAGGACACACCAGGGCATCTCCCATGCCAGCCGTTCTGATAGGGAACATTATCTCCCCTGTTTATGAGGCGCTGCAGTTATTTGCTGCTCATAGATAATTAGTACACAATTAGGACCTTTCAGCAGAAAAGGAACATGTGGCTCTTTAAATTCATGGAAAAGTGAAAGCAAAGAGTTTGGTGATGATCTGGACGTCTCGACTTTTACTGGCTCCGCTTACCTGGTGTACATGCACTCGACTGTCATTGCTTTTTTATTTTTTATTTTTCAATACCTACATGGCATCGCAGCCTCACATAAGAAGTGCACATGTGCGTGGGTGTTGAGGTGATCATCGAAGTTTCAAGGCCAGTTTGTGGTCCTCTAGCTGCCATTGCCCAAGATATGGAGGTTATTCACCCTGACGCTAGAACCAAACCACCCACACCAAAGACAAAGCAAACAAACGCTGGGGAAGAAAAGCCATTTCCCCTGAACCCGGGCATTTTTTCTCAATACTCTGGGAGTTTGTTGCGTAATATGTATTGCTGAACACATGTCATTAGAGAGGTGACCGTGTTTTTCTTACTAATGCGATGGGTGGCTTAAGAGCAGGATGACTGAAGCCATAAACTCAAAAGAGCGAAGAAGAATAGGGAGTATTTGGAAACTTGAGAGATAATTGGCACTGTGTTGAGCCAAAGATTTAGAATAATTTAGTCCTTTCAGTGTATTAATACAGCTGCTGTTTATCAGAAAGGGGTCTGGACATTGCTGTGTGCTCTCCCTCCTCTGCCCTCTTGTGGTTAAGACTCTAGGTTATTACGCTAGGATATTTCTGAAGCTTACAATCCTATAATCCTCTGTGCAAATGTTACTTGGTAACAGTGTAAAAAATAAATAAATACTGCGGGAGCTACTTTATTGTAAACAGCAGTCAACAAAGGGCTGAATGGGATAGGTGTCAAGCATCTGATATCACATCCTGGCTCTGGATCTGTAAAAAAGCTTCATTTGGCAACGCCTCTTTGATGGAGTGAGAAGCTCAGAGGACAAAAAGTGCCATTTGACACAGCCACAGGATCCTCACACTTAACTCCCCCTACAATAACGCCTGCAAGCCACATGCCTTGCCCTGCTGTAAAAATAAACTGGCTCCCATTAAAGCAGTTTTAGCACATGTTTGACAATGAGCAGCTCTTTGAATCAGTTGTCACAATGACGTGCTAAAAGGTCGGGAGTTTCTTTCTTGCCACCTGATTTCTTTTTTGGGGGGATTGTCTTTGTTTTGTGACATTAATGTTAACGAACGTCATTCATTAGCAGGGGGAGAGTAGTTTTGTTATTTCCATGTGATTTCCAAAACAGAGAAAGGGTTTCACATCCAGTGTGTGAGAGCCAACAACAGATCCAACTGCTGCCTTGTGACCTTCGACCTAAAAAGGGACATGTTAAAAAAGGGAACTGGGGGATTTAGAATAGATTTTTAAACTTCACCACAGATATGGTAGAAAATTCCATATTACATAAAGATATTTCTCTTCAAAGGTAATATCACATAACTGGATAACATAGCTATTTCAGTCCTAGTTTACTCCTACAATACACAAGAGGAATGAGCGAGAGGAGGATGGATGTGGTAGTCATCCCGGTGTAAGAATTACTAATAAAATGTAGAGCTAGGAAGTTTCAGCTTGGAGCCCCTTTAAAGGTTTGTTCCCTCCAACACACACCTACACCCCAAACCCTTGGAAAATAAAGTAAGGGCAGGTTGAAGCTGTAGAACTATTGGTGCTTTCAGGTGCACTGCAAAATATTGCACATACATAGTACAGAATCTGCTTCTTCGTCTTCTTCTCCTTCTTTTGGCTGGTCCCTTTAGTGGTCACCACAGTGGTTCATCTGCCTCTTTCTCACTCTATCCCTCCATTCTTCCTTTTTGTATCAATCCTCTCGCTGTGTCCTCTTTGTCTACACCCGTCAATCATCTCTGTGGCCTTCCTCTTTTTCCTCTGCCTGAAAACTCTAATAAATCTGTTGGTCTTCCATGGTCTCTTGTGTTCTGGGGGCCTCTGGATGTCTGGAGTTTTGATCTCCTCCATACCTGCTTCACACCCTGGAGGACGGGGCTGTGGCCCCCCCACACTCCCTAGCAGATCGTTACATGGAGAAACCTTTGGAATACAAGCGCGCTGATCCACACAGGTATGCACACGGGTGTTCACTGCTCGTAGACCCAAATTACACCTTTCTTGGCTGCTACTTCGAAGCACATCTGTCCTGCGTGCTGCACAACAACATTGAATATTTAGTATTTACTGCTGTTTACACTTAGCTAGATTAATGCGATGGTGTTGTGTTTAGTATGTTGCTTTGTTTTGTTTTTTTGTCTTTTTTGCTTGTTTTCTATTCTTCTCTCAACAGGTGATCCAGGAGATTTTTATTTTTTTTCTCCCCCCCTTTCTCACTGTCCCTCCCCCCTTCTGTTTTTCCTTTCCTTCCTCTTTCTTTCTCCCTTTCCTATCCCTCACTCATGTCTGTCCCGTCTGTAACATCTGAAAATAAAATATAATAAATAATAAAAACAAAGATCGACCAAATGGACCAATACGGCAATGCCACGATGATCCATTTGGCAAAGTAAATCCATTGGGTATCCTTGGTGGTCTTCAGACAACAATTCTGATGGCTAAAGAACCAAATGGGACAGGCAGAAGAAAAAAAAAAGAAAACTCTAATAAATCCACTGTCATTCCTCTGCACATATCAAAACCTTCATAGCTTTGGTTCTGTAACTATTTTTCCAAAATGCTCAACCTGAGTCGTCCCTCTGACATACTCATTTCGGATCTGATCCATTATGGTCACTGAGTATCCTCAACTCTATCACCTATAGCTTGGCCTCCTGTGTTTTTGCCAGTACCAGTCTCCAAGAGATACATCATAGCAAGTCTCAAAACCATTTTGCAAACCATACCTTTCATATTAACGTTGTCGTATCATATGAACAGATTTTATTCATATATTTCAGACATTTTATTTTTATTTTGAGTCTATATGCGTAAACTAAAATAAATGACAGTATGCTCACCGTTAACACCTCTGTTAAAGTCTAATTTCACCATGTACTGTAATACACATAAACTGGACAATTGCTGAGTTTCCGAGTACATGTGAACGCCTCGAGTGGCTCAGCCAGTCAGATTCAAACGTCTCCAACAGGAAACGAAGGAAGCGTCCTTGGAGATGTTGTTAGGAGTGTAACTTTCGCATCTTTCCCCTGTCTTTGTGCACAATGCCGCCGTCAAAGAACTGACTGCTAAGCGTTGCTTCCACAGAGGTTAATTTAAAGTTGGGAAGGTAAACGGCTCGGCTCTAATCTGCTTTCCAACTACTTAGCTTCCTGAGCTAACGTTACGCTAACGTGGAAATTAGCTGAGATGCTAACGTTAGATTCATTAGATTTATTTCGCTCCTTTTACTCCCCGACCCTAATTGCTGTCCTCAGCAAGGATTATATGTTGATTGTATGCTGACTGTGGCTTTAGCCCAGAAGCCCTTTTCCCCATGCTAAACATTGTTAGTCAGTATACAACAAATATGCGACAAAAGTTAGCTAATGTGTAAATTTTACCCCTTTAGCTAAACGACAACGCAAAACCTGCCGTTTTCAAAAGAGATGTTGATGCAAACGGCGTCGCCATTGTTTTATAATATGTGCGTGAATTATGTTTTGTCTCTGCAGTAACCATGACTGCAGCTGCTCTCGTAGGAGACCAGCTGATCCTCGAAGAGGAATACGATGAGAATTATATACCCTCTGAACAAGGTACCCCAGCATCATTGAACAGCACAGTTGATGAGATTTAAACTGCACTGTGGCTTACTTGTGTTTATTCACACCTAAACGCTGAACTAATATTAGTCAGGAACATGTTGCATTCAGGTTCCATAAACAGAGCTCATGCAGAACTGCAGTGCTTTATGGCTTAAATTCTGGAGATTTCCAAAACTATGCTACATGATGGTGTATACTTTGCATTCAGCTCTTCTTCTTTTCTTCTGATCAGAGATCCAAGAGTATGCAAGAGAGATTGGCATTGACCCCGACAATGAGCCCGAGCTTCTGTGGCTGGCGAGGGAGGGCATCGTCGCCCCTTTGCCTCCTGAGTGGAAGCCTTGGTAAGTAATGGGAAAGCACCCAGGGAGTGGACCTCAAGCACCAGAGATATAAGTCCAGTGGCGGGGGGCGGCTTACTGGGCTTAAGCCCGGGTTGTTTTGTCAGAAGTCTTTTGGGGTGTAATTTTTTCATAGTTAGATGCCTGGCTGACAACTGTATAAAACAAAAACTACACACAATATTCGAAGCACATAGTGCACACTGTGGGAATTTACGACTGTGCGTAAATCCCCCCTAATATTGGTATGATCCGAGCTCAGACACTAAAACGGAGCCAGGCAGACAGAGGAGAACTGAAGTTCGATCAGGTACCAAAGCAAATCATTCGTACTGTACAAATAATGTAAATATGACGGTGTATCACGAAAGATTGATATCAAACTGATCACTTGGCCCATATTACGTTACTTGCTCTTCGAGTGAATCAACAAATGGTGAAATGAAAAGCCGAACAACAACAATGCTGTTTCTTTAGAGACTCTTAGCTTACATGTATGTTTATTTCATATTTTCAGTTGTTACCCTCCACGGCTAAATAAATCGGTTTCAGTAATGCACTGATATACAAGAATGGACATAAGGGGCTTCTTTCAAAGAAAAAACTCTGGTAGTATTTTATATATTATGCTTTGTATGTTGTTCAGTATATTTCTATGCAAAACAAGAGGAATTTCAATACACAACAGTATATTCACAGTTGAAACCAGATATTTACATACACTTTATGGAAAACACAAGAACATTTTTTTACTGTACAACATCAATTTAGAGTAAACTTGTTTTGTTTTGGATAAATAAATATTGAAATATCTTTTGAATTAGTTAAATGTCAGAATAAAGAGAGACAGAGTTAGCTGTCTATTTTTTATCACTTTCATCAAATTTAGGAGCACATATACACTAAGTTTATTGTTAATTAATAAGAAACTCCAGATGATTCCATTCTGAGCTGAAGAAGCTTCTGATAGGTTAGTAGAGTCCATGTGAGTAAATTAGTGGCACACCTGTGGATGCATATAAGGCAAAACACAGAGCCTGTTTCTTTAAAATGGGAAAATCAAGAGATGTCAACCAAAACACCAGGAAAAGAATTGTGGAGCTCCATAAGTGTGGCTCAATTTTGAATACAATTTGGTGCCATTTACAATTAAGAAATACAGATAGTTTCTCTCTTTACTCTTAAAGTTAACAAATATGTTTTTTTATATTTAGCAATCTAAAAAAATAAACATTTAGTCTGATTTGATGTTACAATTAAAAAAGTGTTTTGATCTGAAGAGTTTGTAAATATCTGGTTTCAACTGTATATTTGATGATTGTCAGCACAAAGAGGGAGAGAGAGGAACAGAGAGGGAGAGAGAGAATGAGGACAGAACAGAGGTGGAACAAGAGCAGGTGAGACACACATGTTAGTCAAATGGTTGTTTACCAAAAGTATCACCGTATCATAGGTCCTCATGTATCTCGTACCTAGTGTTTCTTTTTAGGTTTGTTATTTTTTCAAATTCTATATTTATTACGTTATGCAGACTTGTTTGCACAACAAGGCTAAATTATTATATAAACTTTTCTGAATCTAAATAGTGTGCTTTGGTAGAATTAAAAAATAATTGTAGTGCAGGTCTATGATGATTTTTAGTGCTACTGTCATCTAGTTCTGATTCTGGTTCTGTTTTGGTTAAGTCCTCAGTAGTCCTGATTTTGAACTGTTGTAGTCCTGTTTTAATTCCGGATCAGTTCTGGGTCTGGTTGAATTGGGGTTTAGTCCTCATGTCTTGATACAGCCCCGACTTTGTTCTGCCTTGCTGCTTAATTAAAAACCTAGTTCAAGGTGTCCTGCATATGTGATATATATTTTTCCCTATATGAAGTCATTCTTTTTTGAACAAAACTCAAAACAGAGCCTATTAATCTTTCAGTCATTTCAGTCACACACAAAAATATATATCCCACATGCATACTACCCTTTTGGGCTAAGCCCCGGGTGTTTCAAATGTCTGGCTCCGCCTCTGTATAAGTCCCCTTTCACGTATGCTCTGGCAAATTCAGGTGTTTTACAAAGTGTTTTCAAGGTGTGGATTACAGTGTAATTTCCAGCTAATTACAAGTGAGGGTCTGTTGTTGACAACTGAATGCCAAAGTGTGTAGCAACCATCTCTTATCAAATTCTCCAGGGAGACGTCAGAGCTATTGACAAAATAATGCCTCTAACCCAGCAACACATCGCTTACAAAGCAGTTATTATTACTTGTAGATAGATGATAGATTAACGTAATAGATTAACATAGCCATCCTTCTAATTCTTGGCTCATGTGTTTTATATAATTTAGCTTCATTATGATGTCCTCAATGAGTGGTGTTAACTGTAAGAATGGATTCTATGGTTTTTAACTGAATGTATTAACTAAACCTAAATAATTATTAAGACAGTTATAGCATAATAATCATTTGTAATGCTTAATGGACATAAAAATGTAGGAGGTGGGGTTATATGATCCATCCAGCACCACCAGCTTGTCCTCCTACAACAGGTTTGCTTTAGTTGTCCACACTGGTTCATCCCTTCAGTTTGGTAAGTGTTAATGGTGTTGTTGCACAAGGCCATTTTAAATAATTTCAAGAATGTCTGATACCTTCAAAGTAAAATTATAAAGAAATGTGGGGTGACTCAAGACTGAATAGAACAGTGAATGACTCCCGTTTCCTTTCTCCTTACCCACAGCCAGGACGTGACAGGGGACATCTACTACTTCAACTTCTCCACGGGTCAGTCCACCTGGGATCACCCCTGTGACGAGCACTACCGACGCCTGGTGGCCCAGGAGCGTGAGCGAGCTCAGCTCACAGCCACAGCTGGGGGCGCAGGAGCCAAGAAAGACAAGAAAAAGAAGAAAGAAAAGAAGGAGAAGAAAGAGAAGAAGAAGAAGGAACCACTCAAAACTCATGGGGTGAGTGGTTTTATTGATTTATTTTCTTCCTTCTTGTTTTAGACAAAAATTTTATGTTTACTTATCGAGCAACATTGCATCAGAGTATAAGTGGACTGCAAATAAGATGTGTATAGATTGATTAAGTGGTTATAGGGACAAACGTGTATGTATATGTGTGTGTTCGTATTTTCACTACTAAAACTGTAGCCGAACAACAAACTACTGTTTGTTACTGGGTTATTAGGAGGTTTTCTGAGCTCATAAGGGTTAGCCTGTTGATTCTTAAAGTTTGAAATTCACAATTCCAACCTCCATCCATCCAGCTTCTTTCACTTAACCATGCTGGAGCCAATCTCTTCTGCTATAGGGCAAGAGGTGGGCTACACCCTGGAAAGGTTGCAAGTTTGTCACAGGGCTGACAAAGAGAGACAGACAACCATTCATGCTCACATTCACACCTGTGGGCAGCTTAGAATCATCAACTAAACTAACCTACAGACAAAGGCCCCGGCCAGATGGTGGATTTGAACCCAACACCTTCTTGCTGTGAGATTAACCACTGCTCCACCGTCGTGTTGTCAGTGTTGTTGTTGTTGTTGTTGTTTTTTTCAATTAGCCCTTAAAATGCTCAGATTTAGCCCGCCAAGGTCCTTTTATGCACACTTTGCAAAATCAGTTTCTAACATTGTGGACACTTTATCAATGTTTTTATATAGTGTTATGCTGCCTCAGTGTCTTCTGCATCTGCTTCTGCATAATCCCCACTGACTCGGTGTTGTAATCGGGGCTCTCTTGGGGTCCGGGCCATCTGCTGCAGAACTCTGTGTTCTCCCTGTGACTGAGAGAGTTCTTTATGTCACAGGCTGGAATTTTGGACTGCTGCAGAAGGAGTTGTGGAAATGTCTAATTAGTGGTATTACGTTATTAAAATATAAACATCTAAAGAGCCCAAATACATTTTCTTTCTACTGCAATATTAAAACTAGACTTCCATGTCAGAGAACACGATGCATTCCTAAAAAAGGATTTGTTGAAAAGCGAGAGCTCACATCACCGACTGCGTCTCTTCTCCTACAGGCCCTCAGTTCGTCTCTGGGACCTCTGCAATCTTCGCTTACCAGCCTGGCTCCCCTGCGAGGTCTAGATGCCCCCAGCCAAAGCGCTCTCTCTGGATCTGCCACTGCTCTGCGGGGGTCTCTCGGCAGCTCTGGGGGGTTGGAACCCCTCAAGAAACCCCTACAGGTAAAAGAGCCATCATGCTACGTTATGGATGAAATGTTGTGCTTCTCCCTTTTTATCCCATCTGAATCTCTTCCTTCCATTCATTCTTTTTCAGGCTCCTCGAACCAGTGGAGCAACCAGAATACTCGGCATCCGACAGGAAGAGAGAGTGTCATTTACTTTGCCCGATTTTGACAGTGATGATGACAAAATCTCAGAAAACGAGGTTGGTTTAGCTTCCTGTAGCTCCCAGGAAATACACTTCACGTCCTTCTGTAACCAGCGACTGTTCTTTCCAGCCAAGTCCTCATGATTCAGACAGACTATTGAAGAATCTCCACCTGGATCTGGATGCCCTCGGAGGAAGCCTAAAGTATGAGGTAGACAGGATTACTAGCTTTTTACTACTCTGAGTTATAATTTAGGCACAAATAACTGCATTGACCATTATGCACCTTCTCATTTATAGAAAGTATAATTATGTTTCCTAATTAATGGTTTATCAGTGTCAGTGTTAAAGTTTCCTGTGTAAATGTTTACTGCAGGAAAGTGATGCCACTGGCGCAGCACCAGCTGAGGAGAGGACGGAGCCCGAGTTGCAGGATTTGGGCCTGTCTGGTGACCACAGCCCTGAACCGCAGTCACAACAAGTAAAAGCACACAACAGTGTCCACGCATCATTTCTCTCTTTCTCGCTCTCAACAAGTAAAACCTCTCTGCCACTTCTGCCCTCTTCACCTGTGTGTGTGTCTTTGAACGGCTGTGGTGTGTTGTTTAATGTGCGGCACATTCGAGGTATTATAATGATTGTTGTGTTTCTGTTTTTTAAACCAGAGATTTTGTACAAAGATCAGAATATGTTTGTGAAGAATGGGGGTCTCGGGTACCTTTCCTCTGGTAAAACTGCAGAGTGAGAGATTTAGAAAATACACAAACACTGCTGTATTTTCAGTGCCTGTTTAACTAGAAGTGTTATTAATGGGTATTGGTGCTATATTATTATAAGTGTTTTTATGATTACAAGAAGGGACTTTTCTTGTTGTCTTGTCTAACTGTGGTCTCTAAACCATATGTTTCTGCTTCTCTTGTGTCTCTTTGACCTTTAAACCATTCACCTTTGCACTGTGACCCATGTGTGTCCCTGCAGCTGCTGTGCTGCTGGGATCTGTCCTACGGGCACGGCTGTTACTGTGTCTTCCTCTTTGTCCTTCTGTCCTCCTACTGCCACTGTTACTGCTTTGCTCTCTAAACAGCAAGAGCATGGGCCATCGCCATCAAAACTCATTCATGAATTTATTTATTTAAGTATATCATTCACAGTATAATTCCTTACCATCACCACTGAGCAGTTGTATTTATATCATGTAATTTAATAAGTCATATAAATAGTTTTTTTTTCTGAAATGTATATATAATACAGACACGGCCAGGTTTGTTAATCGGGCCAAATTAAATTTTAAAAAAGTGTTGAGGGATAAAATGCAATTTACTTACTAATGATGCACAAATTTGTGACACACTTTATTTCTATATTGAAAAACACAATCACCAAAAGGAGCACAGATGGCTTTCAAAGTTGAGAACGCAGGCACATCTTTGTTGCTTGAAGTCTGACAGACCTAATATGTGTGTAGTTTTTATGCCCTAAGCAAATGTGGAAGAGTAGACCAAGGAGAGGTTAGAGAAGGGTCCATAAGTTTTTGGACAGTGACAGATACTTTGTAGCCTTTCCCTAAGGATAGTGCAACAGTTTCTTTTTTTATGGCTTTATTGGATAGGTAAAGTGAAGACTGACAGGAGGGCCACGTTTCGGACTTGAACCCAGGCTGTCGGCTCTCAGCCGTACAGCATATGGTCGCCTGCTCATCCAACTGAGCTAAACGAATATTCTGTAAAATGTTCGGCTAGCAAAAGTAGTCTAGTAGAACAGTGATGTGCTCTGTGGTTCTGAAAAAAATACAAAATTTGAGGATTTCATTTAAGATTTGATGCTTATGTGAAAAAACAAGTTTATAAAGCCACGCTTGGCTTCATGAAGTCAGACTCCTTCTAGTTTAGCTGGATGTTTCAGGAGGTTGAGTTTCCTTTCAAATAAAACCAGTTTTTCCTCACATGCCAAATAAATTAACACAAGTTGAGAAAATTGTCTCATTTCTGCTATGTGCTCCGTGCTCTTGTGCAGCATTTCCCTAGCAACAACTATTGTTGCCATGTGAGGTTAAAATGGACCCAGTAATAATTACATAACCCACTGTGTTAGCCAAATGTCCAGCTGTGATGCCTCTGTCTTCATACTGGACTCGAGTTCTGAGTCTGACTGAGAAGCTGAGGGACACTGTGTGCCCATACCCTGCTCTATCGTCTTTCTTGACTCTAATGGGGACAAAGTGAACATTATGTTGGATTGAGTAAGACTAAACTAGTAATTAAGTCTATTAGCTCATTAAGAAAGTGTTTGCAGAAGTCACAGGGAGCTGAAGGGTCATTTTCTCTTAGATGTCTCTATAACTAGATTTCTTTTCATGACTGGAGGAGTCGCCTCCTGCTGATTTATTTATAAGGAATGCCGGTTTAAGGCACCTTTGCTTCTTTTATATGCACCTTAGTGAATTATGCTGCATGACTGATTTAAATGCTGAAGGGATAAATAAGGAGAAAAACTGTAAATGCAGTTGTATCACTAGCTTCTTTACCTGTAGTAAACTTATTTAGACTTTTTTTTTTCACCAAATCAAGGCTTGCACCCAAAGTCATAAATTTGGTGTGTTTTGGGGGAGAATAACAGAATTCCCTGTTGATTTGTCAGCGTAAAGGTGTACTGATTCAGTGCTGAAACAAGGAAATCACAGTCATAAAACACACCTGCTCGAACTATCCCCCGTGTTTGTGCTTGTGTTTAAATGTGAGTCCCAGAACCACAATGTTTGTGTCTTTTGTTTGTGCAGACATGCATGTTCTTGTTTGGTGGATTTATTTTTATGTGCTGACTGCCTAACAAGGTGTGGGATGGATGGACCATTCTTCCCATTGTCTTCCACCCAGGATTCTCTGAAGGGTCGCCACAGCCACCTCTCTCCACAGACAGGCAGTGGAAATCATGTCAGTGAGGAAGGGGCTGATGCTGTCACTCCTGATCCTGAACACTCTGCTGAGCACTCAGAAGAGGAGGTAGCAGAGGAGTTAAATGAGGCAGAGGAAGAAGAGCAGCAGGGTAGCACATTAGACAAAGATGAAAAAGGAGCAAAAGAGACAAAAGGAGATGTGGAAGGTAGACAGGAAGATGGAAAAAGCCAAGAGGAGGGGAAAGAGATGGAGGATGCTCAAAGGAAAGCGGCTGGAGAGAACAAGAAAGGGGAAGATGAAAATAATGAGCTAGAGGAAGAGTGCTGTGAAGATAAGGACGAGAACGAAGATGAAGACATAGAGAGGAAAGAAGAGCAGCAAAAAATAGAAGAAGAGGAATGTGAGGATAGTAGCAGTGAAGTCGTGAAGAAGTCCTCCAAAAGTGATCAAGGTGGAGAAAGTCGGGAGGAGGACAGAACTGACAAAGAGAGGGATGAGCTTGAGAGAACTGTAAGTGACGGAGGGCACAGTGAGAGAAAGGAAGAGGAGGTCGAGACCAGTAGCAAAGGAGGGCAGGAGGAGGAGAGCGATAAGGTTTTGGAGAGGTGCTCTCTAAGCCGGAGGAAACTGACAGAGAGTGATGAGGTGTTGGAAAGATGTGTACAGAGCGAAGGAGAAGACACAGAGAGGGGGGGAGTGGAGCTAGAGGAGGACTCAGTTGGCCAGAGAGCATTAGACAGCAAGGAGGAGGAGGAGGAGGAGGAGGAGGAGGAGGTTATAGAGAGGTTTAAAGAGGAAGGAGCTTATGACCAACCAGCCAGTAATGATCGGAAGATGAAAAATGTGACAAAAAATTCTTCCCTTCCTGCAGAGGTAGGGTCCAATGTTGTGCCTCTGTGTTGCCTCTCAGTCTTAGTCTTGCTTGATTTTTGCAAGCAGGTGCATGTAGTAGCTCTCAGGCTCCAACTCCACTGCCTTAGGGGCTGCTACTTGCCCTGCGACTTCCTGCCTGGAAGTCTTCATTCACACACTGAATGATAAATCGGGCAAAAGGTCAATCTATCTGAGCCCCTGAGGATTGGATTGGAGCATTTTCCCATTGACAGTGCAGACTTATTAAGCTGACCTGACCTTAAGTTGCTGGTTTGAGTTTTCTGTTCAGACAGAACTGTCATATCCCACAACCTTGCCCTTCACCTGGAGAGTGTGCTTGCTTTAGTTGCACAATGATTTTGCAGTGTGCCTGCCTGCAGTCTGGCCTTGGTTGTGTTTGCATGTAGGCTGTAGCTTGGAATCACCCTTAGTGTCTTTCTGTGGCTTTGGTAGAGACAGCATGCTTGGATGTCCAGTGTTGCTTGTGGGCAGTTCAGTTGTTTAGACATAGGTTATCAGCGAGAACGTTACATGATCACTGTCTGTACTATTGCAGAATTCTGAAGCCAGTAAGAACATTGAGGAGGCGTCGTCCTCCATAGATAACAAGGTATGCACCCTAACTCATTTACCATTCAACCTACTGTGCTCAAAAAGCCAAAACAACCCCCCCCCCAAAATCCCCCAAGACTCTTTTAAATATGGCATGGTCATGACCTAAAAACCCGACTCATTTCATCTTAAAAGCCTCTTAAAAGCCTTTATGAGGTGTTACATTTTATTTATTTTAATAACAGGCTATGTGGGGACAATGACACTTTTTTTCTTGTGGTGTTCCACTGATAGGCAGGCTTGGACAAGTTATAATGGTCTAAAGGGTTCAGAAAATAAATGTCTTTTTAGAATTTCAAAATCCAAAAAGCTTCCCTTTCATTTAACTGCATAAATCTCTTTTTATTCTTCCAGTGTAAAAAAAAAAAAAGAAGCAAAAATTTGCAGCTGCGACACATCTGATAAATGATTTTTAGATTTCAAACTCTGTCTTTCAGCTGTCGCAGAAGGCTCTGGACATCAACGATCTGTCTGATGCTGTCAGTCCACTGGAAAAAACTGACACAGAGGAGAAGGAGGAGGAGAAAGGAGAAAAGGGGGAAAGGAAAGGAGGAGAGGGCAGCAAGAGGTGCCTTTGGTTTACATATTGGTCCTCAAAAATATCTGCTTTGTTGATTTTATGTGACTTTATCCTCTTAAGAAGTTGCACTTAGCACTCGGTCTATTTTGTTTTTTTTAGTAAAGAAACATCTACTTTTTACAACATTTACAGTTTATAAAGAAAGCTTTAGACTTATGCCCTTCTTGCCTGTTCATAGAATTATGATGAACAAATACAACACCTTTTAACTCTTTTGCTCTCATTCTTTTATTTTAGCCATGTGCTGGCCAAAGACAGAGACACATCCCCAGTGCATAAAGTTGACCGGCTTGTCCTTCACCAGTCCAGCCTTTCACCGTCACCCTCCATCTCCTCGCATTCAGACCAGGCTGTCACCCCCAGGCAAACGGCCCAGGGCCTCGGCGTACCTCTGGGATTTGAGAGGCCTGAAACTTCCAGGGGCCGACAGGCACGGTTTTTGAGCATCCAAGCTGATGGTGTTAAACGCTCCTTAAAAAAACAAGAGAGGGCTTTGGAAGAAGAGCTGGGAGGGAGAAGCCGGAAAGATGGGGAGAAGAAAGAGAGTGAGAAAGAAGAAGAAGAGGAGAGAAAGAGGCTAGAGAGAGAGGAGAGAAGTAAGAAGGAAAGAGAGGAGATGGAGAGGGAAAGGAGGAAAGCTGACCGAGAGATAGAGGAGGAGAAGGAGCGCATAGCTAAGGAAAAAGAAGAGAGGATTCGTCTGCTCCGGGAAGAGCTGAAAAGAGAAGAGGAGGAGGAGGAGGAGAAACTGAGGGGGGAGACTGAGGAAAGACTGAGGTTGGTAGGAGGTCAAACTCAAAGACAGCACCTTTAAATTTGTTTTTGTATTGTGTTGTTTACTTCCTGCTCTTTATTGTTATTATTTCATGAGGTGTGAATCCGCGAATTGATGAAGCTCCTTTGCTTCCAAAGGTTTTTTTTGTTGTAACTACATACACAAATGCTTCTGAATTTACATGCCTCTCCCTCAGGGCTTTACGGCAGCACCTCCTGTCTAGAAGGAGAGAGGAGGAGACCAGGCTGAACGAGGAGTCTGACAGAATGTTGGAGGAGCTCAGAGAGTCTACGAAGAGGGAGAGGGAGCAGCAGCAACACAAACTCAGGTCAACGCTTAACACACAGTCGCCCCTAAAGAAGTGAAAAAACACAATCCCTGTATTAACATGAACATCTGCGTCATGTGCAGGGAAGAGAGTGAAGTCCTGTTAAAGGAGGTACGTGTCACTCTAGAGGAAGAGCAAACTGCAGCGCGGGAAAGACTGGAGGCCCAGAAGACACGGGACATCGAGCGACTGAAGGCGGAGTTAGAAGAAGAGCTGGAGACAGAGAAGAAGAGGCTCCAGAGAGAGAGGAAGGAGAAACTGGACTCTCTGAAACAGGAGGTAACTGTTGATGCTGCTGATTTTTTTTTATCCTCAGACAGCTTGTCTTTATAGGGATATTTAGGTCAGATAAATCACAGTGTTCACTGGACTAAAGAGGAGGGGGACCATCCAACTTATTACTAGCACTCAGTTCAAAATCCTGCATCTGTGATGGAATGGAATTAGAGCACCACATGCTCCCATCCAGATTCAGGGAAGGCCTTTCATATTTCAGCAAGACAATGCTAAACGGCATACTGCATCTGTTACTGCAGCAGCTAGCCTTTCACCATCCTGAAACATTTGACACATTATGAAGCAAGTAAGAGAAAGAAGACCCTGGACTGCTGAGCAGCAATGCTCGAACTTTTAAAATAAAATGTTAAGTGACATGTAACGCATGAGGTGAGAGTTCTCTTATTGTGGGGGCTATATTTTGATAGCTGCTTTAATAATTATAGAGGCCACATCCTGTATGTAGTTATGAGAAGGTATCCCTTTAATAGAATCCTATTAAACTAACTGTGTGTCATATACCTGTCTGAAATAAAGTACACATTTGCTTTTATATTGTGATTAATCTTGTCTCCATGTGGGAGATAATTTATTATAGGTGAGGGAACTCAAACTGTTGGTTGACAGGTGACAGGGGCGGATCTAGAGGAGTGGTATGGGGTCGCATGTGCCACCCTAAAATGATCTCTTGCCACCTCTAGTGCCACCCTAGTTTTGCATATGACGGTGTTGTTTATTAAGATAAGATAGCATTAACACTTTGAAGGTGGAATGAAGGTGACTGTTCTTAACACTGTGTGTGCTGCACCTCCGAATTGCAGGACCGGCATGTGATTAAGCTGACATAGCAACAAGCTGGAGCCACGCTGAGTCTCTATTTCAGCTTGTGTTGAAAGTTTGGACTTCAAAGTATACATCAGTTTTTAAATTTTAGTGACAGGCCACTAAATCCAGACTTCTGATTAAAAAACTATATTTTTATATGTATTTATTTATTATACAGGCTATACAGTACATAAAGTAAAAATTCACGTGTTATGTAACTGAAAAGTTTAATTATGTGAGCTACAGAAAATAATTAAGTTATAGACTATATTTATATGAAACATGTGTATACTTACTGCATTTAAATCATGCAGTAAGTGTAACACCTGCATATGTGTTTCAAAAAAGGCTTAGATTTTGCCATCCCATTTGATTTCCATGCCACCCTGATGCCACCCTACGAAACTTTCTCTAGATCCGCCCCTGATAGGTGAAAGTTTTTTTCCTATCTTGATTTATTAAGATTGTTATTGCGATTTATAGAAAAGTGATCATACACGTTCTGAAGGAAGCAAATGTATTGTAACTGCTTTCATGGGAGAAATCAAGATTAAAGTTGGGTTCAGTAAATAGTCAAATATTGTCCTTGTTATGAAGCAATCTGGACTGAAAAACAAACCACTGACTCACACTAGATGCTGGTAGGTTAAACCTGGATGTTTGTTGTCTTGTGTAGTGAAAGGACTCCAGAAGTCAGTTTTGTTGTGACCTAGTCCTTGTAACTCCATTTCTAGTTAGACTTGTCACTCAGGGCAAGAATTCTTGATCACAGTGGTACTAACATACCAACATATTTTATGTCCATGACCTAAAGTCCTAAAGTGTCTGCGTCACCATACAGTTGTAGCTTTGTTTTTTTAGTTTTTGTAAAGACAGAAAAGACAGACATTGCCAGGATCTAAATGGTCTCAGTTTAAACTGCCAAATGATCTTTGTGGCCAGTGGTAGTGTGATATACTAATGTAAACATTAAAACCAACCGATCCATGGGTTTGCTTTGATAGTACACGAACACAACAAACACGGATTAATGATCTGTCTGTGTTTGCACTTTTTTGTGTGTATAAAGGTCAGAAGCACAGAGAGGAGGAGGGAGCTGATGATGAGTCCGCGGCCTGAGCTGCAACTGGCCGAGTACCACCGCGAGGTTAGAGGACACATTTTTATACAGCATTGAATCATCATCTCTGTGAATATGAGCTTAAAGGGCGTGAAGCACTAGTAGCATTAGAATGGGTTATAACTTCTTTTTAAAAAAATTTCCTTCCCCCTTTTCTGCACCGCTGCCCAGCTGACCGATGTGCTCCAGGAAGTGCGAGAGGAAGTGCAGCGGGATCACGAGAGGAAGCTGGAGCAGCTGAGGAACGACCACAGGAGAGAGATGAACAGCATAAGAGAGAAATATCTAGACGAGGTCAGGGAGCGTTTCAGATTTAGTTGTACTGTAGATTCTTATAAACATATAGCCAAACTTTCAAGTAAGAAATGATCTTCAGACTAGAGCCTGGCTGATATTTTTAAGACCGATACCGATTAAAAAAACTGTTGTTTCAGCCGATATTCACCAAACATAACCAGATTTCCACATATCGTTATTTATAAGTGCTTAATAAGATACTGAATGATTTGTTTATGCTCGACCCGACTCTGCTCCTAACATCTGTTTCCAACCAAGCTTTTTGCCAAAAGGAAAGTTGCAGAGTGCCCTCTGGTGGACAAAGTATGCAACATCAACATTCATAACATGGTTGAAGGATGTTTCTCCTTCCTTTGTACATAAATGTCATAAATGACATTTTTGATATGTCAGCAAATGGCTAATATCAGTCTGATTGGCATATCAGCATTTCAGACTGCTCTAAAGAGGCAGTTTATTTCTACTCTTGGCTCCAAATGATATTAGTAAGTGCAGATTTCCTTAATCTGGCCAGCTCAGGCATAGAAGACTGACTCACCTGCTGTTTCCATCTTCTGTTTAAGAGGAGTCGGTCAGATTCAGTCAGGTAGAACTTTAAGAGGAGCTAAATAACTTACTCTAGGAGAGGCTGTGAAAAAAACAATCTGGAAATGCGTATAACAGGTCTGAATCTAGGAAAAGAGAGACTGAGCTGTTAAAACAACACCACACATGCTTTGGACTTTAAAGTAAAGAATAGCTTTTCTCACACGGTGTCACGTTTGTGTTTAATTTTAAACAGTGGACTAGTATCACAAGCTTTTGCCTCAAGGCTTTTTTTGTAAACAAGCAGGATACTTACTATCAGTCACGTCATTGTGTCTGTGTCCTAGGAGACGGCTCAGAGGGAGCGCTTGCTGTCCACTCTGCAGGAGGACAGAGAGCGATTGCAGGCCTCACATGCTGTCCAGCTGGAGAAGCTCCGCTTACAGCTGGATGCACAGATACAAAAGACTGAGCTGGCACACTCACGCAAGGTAAGTCAGGACAGACACACGAATGCTAACTCTGAGGTGGGGTTTACATAATATTTGCTAAGCTGTGCCAAGGAAGGGTAAAGGTTAGCCTTTTCTAAAAGGAAGTCATCTTATCTCTTTGTGTAGGAGTCAGAGCTGCAGGATTTGGGGGATCAGCTGGAGCTGAGAGCCAAAGAGCTGAAGAGCCAGGAGGCCATGCTGCAGACCAAGGTCCGTTTTAAACAATATGTGCTCTGTTAAGAGGTATCTGAACCACATGGACTAATCAATTTCTGTCTCCTATCAGGCAGCAGATCTGAAGAGGAGGAGGAAGCTGCTTGGACAAGAGGAGCAGGAAGTGGACCGACAGATAGAGGTGTGAAGCCATGCTCTCTCCTAATGAACAGATTTTATTCACTTGCTTTGCGATCTGCCAACTTTCCTTTTTTCCTCCGTCAGGCCTTACCTCGGCTGATCCAGGAAAGAGACCGGCTGAGAGAGGAACTCGAGAGGATGAGAGAAGAGACAGCCCAAGCCAGAGAACTCATCAACAGAGCCAGGGAGGAGAGGAGTGAGGCCAAGGAGAAGGAGGAGAGGCTTAGGGAGGAGTTGGACCGAGCCAGGGAAGAGAGCAGGAGAGCCAGGGAGGACAAGGAGCACCTGGAGACCAAGGTGGCATTGCTGCAGGAGAGATGTGACCGCCTCAGCCACAGAGTCAGGTAGAGGCTTCCTACACTAATAGCTTTCAAAATAAAAGCTCTGATTGATACTCATAGATTTGCCTCAGTATTAAATGACAGAATGACTGTCGCCTTGCATATGTAGAATTGTCTTGTTTTGTATTTGTTTAGCTTTTTTAATGGCTTTAAATATGATTCCATGTGAAAAGTCTGCTGTCGTTTTCTCAGTGAGCTGGAACGAGGTGAAGGGGCGAGCACGTCCGCGGAACAAGAGCAGGACAGAAAGAAGGCGGCAGAGAAGACGCCGCCGCCCTCCAGTGACAGAAGAGACACATCACTACATGTAGATGACCTGGAGGAGCCGCCTCTTTCCCCTGTACCTGACAGCAACAGCAGCATGGATGAGTAAGGGGAGCACACACACAGTACCAATCACAGAATAAACAGTTATAAATTTTCAGGATTAGGGGTTTGTTTATGGTTTGGTACTTTCCAGCATTTTGTTCTTATCATTTTGTCAATCTAAAAAAATAGCCGAATCCTAAAAATTGAAAAACCTTTGAGGTAGACTACTCCTAATAAGATGACAGATGCTGTGAAAGCAGAGCTCCTCCCGGATCTGACATTACAGATTTGGGTTTTTTTCATTGTTACCACTCTTATGCACTTGTTGTTTATGTCCTCAGTACTAAATCAGCTAAAACTGACTACCGTAACAACCCCCTCTGCTACTTAACTAACAAGACCAATACCAGAAGTTTAAGTGACTTGATGTTGTACTGATTAAAACTCTTCCTTTCATTGTTTTGAAGCGTGCATGTTTCTAGTTCTAATGTTTGTATGATAGAAATATCAAAACATTCGAGTTTTTGGTGCGTGTCTACCTTCAACACTTCCCATCCCCACACCTCTAACGTGTCCAGATTCCGGCGGTACATCTCCTCACATGGCGCTTCCATCCAGAAGACCAAACTCTTCCTGGAGAGAGAGAGCAGCCGGCTGATGAAGAGGCAGGCGGCCCTGCAGGCCCACCCCGCTCAGGGAAGAGCGACCGAAGAGACGATGATAAACCTTGAGCAGGTAAGGGGGAGCCTTACGTGTTAAACCTCAATCGGATTTTTTTTTTAAACAAGATGGGAATTTCCCCTCCCTTTGTCAGGAAGCCAACAGTGTGGCGGAGCTGGAGCGGACGGTTCAGAGAGGAAACAGTCTCCTGCGGAGGAAAGAGGAGCAGCTTCTGCAGCTAGAGAACTCTATAGCCAAAGAGGTCAGGAGGTCATCAGCATGTATTTGTGCTCTTCTGTGAGCTTGTTTAAAGTCTCACTTGGAATGAGCTTGTGTAATCAGTGTAGAAGGTTATATTGACCAAGTAAAATTGATGAAAAGCTATAAAAATAAGCAGAACATTTAGCAGCATGGTACCTTTCTGCCACTCAACACTTTATATGCAAGGATGAAATGTGTCTCAGTGGATTGGAAATATAACCTGGATTAGATTTAAGGTGTAGCAGAAGGGAATTCACACTTTTAATGGAATGTCGTGATGACTGTAACGCCCTGGTGCTTTTTCCACGTAGCCGCTGTTTGAGGATTTGTCTCGGCTCGCCGGAGGAAGGAAGGTAACCTTTGATGTGAGTGAGTCAGACCTCAGCAGCACCGTGGAACCGCCATATGGGACAGGTAATGCATGCTCGCCAGACAATGAACAGGATTTTCACATTTCAGTCTAAATCCAACAAACAAGCCCTTGCTAAGCAAAAGAAGATGGATGGAAGTAACATGTTCCCCTGTAGCTATGGGCTGAGAGTAAAGCCCCTTTCAAAGTATACTGAATTAGCAGATCTAAGGTAACCTATACCATACTTTGATTTATGATTGGGGACTATAAGTGTCCCTTTGATTTGTGTGTCAGAGCCAATGTTTCTGTATATAAACTTCACAAATCAGCTGTTAATAGACAATCATTTTGGCTCTAGTGCGTCCCCAGAGAGCCGCTCCTACCAGTTTGAAGAACTCACCTGTTGTATTTTCTCTTACCTCTGCAAATCTACACTCTCCTCCTCCCTCTCTCTTCAGGTGATATTCCCACTGTTCCAGCCAAAGTCCAGGAATTAGCAGAGTCACTGCAGCAGATCTCAGGCCAGCTCAACACCGTCCTGGGTGCCTTGGGTTCGCTGACCCAGCAGCAGAGCACCACACCTTACGCAGCTTTCCCTCCACCTCTGTCTCATCCTCACTCCACTCTAGCTCCTACCTCCTCCTCATCAGCTCCTGTCATTGCTCAGATGTACAACCTGGGAACCAGCTCCTTAGCCTCGCCTCCTCCTCTGGAGAGGCCCTCAGAGCCACCGTGGAGCTGGGCGACTCAGAGCGGCCCTGCAGCCTCCCCACTCTTCAGCACGCCCATCAGCAGTGAGCTGAGGGCATCCAGGGACACCCTCAACAGCCGCTGGAGCCAGATATTCCCTGGTATGTTGTTGGATTAGTGGTGCACCAACAACAGCACTCGTTGGGGGAAAAAAAACAAAAAAGAAACAAAGTTGTACAAATTGTGTCATTGTTCTCTTGTCCAGGAGCAGCTGTTGCCCCGCTCGGTTCCAGCACAACAAGACCCTCCACGGCTTACTCATCATACACTCCTCTGAAGTACTGCAACCTACAATACACCTTTAATCAAGCCTGTGTAGCAGATTCCACACAAACGCTGTTTTAAGTGTACTTACGGTAACTCCTGTGTGTGTCTCAGTGAACACAGCCGGGCGCTTCACTCCACACCGAGATCAGCTGAGATGGACGGCCAAAGGCTGCAGGGGCTGATAGACGGCAACAAGAGGTGGCTGGAAATGCGCAAGAAAGACACCAGCATGTATCCTTCCATCACTCTAACACACAGTCCATCCTCTAGTTCTCCTTTATTTCATATAACTTCCTTTTTAAAATTTTCACTTTGCAAATATCTCTAGTCTAAGTTCACCTTGGGTTGTACCTGCCATCTTTAACTCCACCGTTCAGACCGCTGTTCACCCGCTATCAGGCTCCCTCCTCAAAGAGCGGGCTGGTCCAGCTGGGCCTGGATGACAACAATCAGATCAGAGTCTATCATTACTGACAACATGATGCACGGCCTCCCTCTACCGAGACCGTTACCGAGGACTTTGTATTACTGACTGTGACACGTCTGCATCGTGATGTTTACATTCCTTCTTCTTCTTTTAAAATTAAATATGTCGGTTCAGAAAATTTTCAGGGATCGTTCAGCCTCCTCTGCTCTTCCCAGAGGAAGAGATCACTCTAGAGGACATGGCTGTTCATTCAGGGAGGTTACATATCTGAGAGGGCTGAGGACTTTTATCCTCCAACACTAGAAACTACTTTTATTTTTTCAGGCAAACAAATTCAGGGTTAGAGGTCCATGCCAGAACTTATCCACTCTGTGTTTTAAAGCTGTAGTTCACTTGTGTCGGGTTGGGTTTTCCTAATAAGTATAAGACAATCACAGAGAAGTGTCCTGTGCGATTTCTCTATTGCTGAAACCTTTCCTTCCACAACACGGCCTGATGGAGGTTAACCGTTTATGTAATGCACTTTTTAACAGAGACTGAATTTCCTGTTGTTTTTGTAAAGACAGTGAAGCCAATCCACTTTGAAAAATGTTTAATGTCCAGTCTCCTGGTGTTTGCATATCAGTAATAGTGAGCTGTCGACTAGTTGTGCCTGTTACATATTTGTGTAAATATTGTATTTTTCTATGAAATATTTTAATAAAACATTTTTAATGTGCGAATGATTTCCAGTGGAAAAACTTGTGGTTAAATTGTGAGCTGCTCTTTTTCCAATGCTCTAAATTGGGCTCAGTAATTAAGCCAGGTTACTTCTGAATGGCTGCCCCTCTCAAACAGAAGATCCAAACAGCAGGTGGGTGGAGCTGTTGTGCCCGAGATGATCTTATCAAAGCCAGGTATTGGAAAAATAGACCACACTTCAGAAAAGACCTTTATTATTGAGTATCCTTTCACTGCAATGCCTGACAATAAAATTCATTTTTTGTAGAGTGCAAAAATACCTTTAAGAGTCACACTTAAGGGCAGTTACAAGTAAATACAATCATGTCTTCATGGATATTCCCTCAAGGAGGAGGACGGCTAGCTTGCAGATCTGACCAATCAGAACACAGTATTGTGACTACTATGATTAGAACATTGAAGGCCACAGACTGGACAGGATTCATCTTCCCACAATTATTTTTGAAAACACGCACGCACGCACACACCTGTACAAACACACACAGCATATAAACAGTAATTAAAATACATTGCTGACTTCCAGGCCAAATGTAATGCAGACAATATAAAATAAGTTAAAGTGGACGAGTTTCGTGTCAAGCGAGAATGCACACCGTTAATCGTCAGCAGTAAACGGTGCTCACAACAGTTACATCGATGATGGCAGCGAGAGGACGAAACACTTCAGCATCGCTCGACGACGTTCCGGCTTCTATTGGCACATTAGTGTCCACGCAGGTAGAGGGAGGGGCCTGTTGCTCCTCCCCGACTCTCCACGAGGCAGAGAGGTGCTCATCGACAGCCCAGAAACAGGCTACTGGCTGTGCTTTTTGAAAAAGATGGAGGGGATGCAAACAGACAGGGTGATAAGGCAGAGAGAAAGAGCAGAGCTCTTCGCAGATCTGGCAAATCTAGAAGACGTAGATTTTGTCTCTCTGGACGGTGTCGAGGTCGTCGTCCATGGTCAGGAGGACCTGAGGGGGAGCAGAGGTAATATTGGATATTAAGGTTTTAACGCCTCATTCTAGACCAACTGCATATCCTGCATGTTTAAACAAACTTAAACATGACTCATAATACCAAGAAGGATCCAAACATAGCGATGGAGGACAGGAAATGCCAAATGTCGTGGTCGTCAAAGAACGATAGCAGGATGCAGTCCCTGTTGTGCTCACGAGACTCAGCTGGAGTTTTCTGTACCAGAGGAGAGAAACAAGTAATCCAAGTGTCTTTTCACATGAGCCCAAATCTCATAGGTTTGTGTGTGTGTGTGTGTGTGGCTAACCTGCCAGGTGCTGAGACCCTGGAAGAAGAAATACAGCGCAAAGCCCCACACAACCGCCGTGAAGAGAATACACACCAGCGCCAGACACTTGATTCTCTCACCGCTCCGCAGCTGGGCACAAACAGAAAACTGTGAGCTCCAAAGGTCCCAAACATGTCTGCTACTTTCTCCTGGTGCTTCTCACATGCGCAGAGTTACTAAACACACAAACCTTCATGATGATATAAAAGGCAAAGTAGAGCAACAGGTTACAGATGGCGATGGCCAACAGGTACGAGGCAAAGTCGTTGGGTCTCTGTATGAGGCCGTAGGCAGCCCTGCAGAGAGATAGCGAGATACACATCACCTGCCTCCTCCGCACTCTGCTGATTTAAATGAGCTGAAAACATAGTTTGTTTTACTCACAGAGACCAGTTGACTATGTTCCCCATCACAAGCAGAACCATGCGGTCCTGAAAGACATACACCGGCGGAAAAATGATTAAAAAGCAGGTCATCAGGACTCACCGATGCCTTTTATTGCTCTCTGCAACTACCGGTCGTTAAGATAAGATAATAATTGAGTTACCAGGTAAAGGCAGAAGGACCTGCTACCTTATGCAATACACTGATACTGGATTTTCTGGCCGTTACTCACAATGTACATCGGCCCGCTGCACTGCCTGATGCAGTCTGTGTAGATGACGTAAACTATCCTACGCATGATCCCAGCGTCTGATACGTGAACACACAGAGAGGAAGGAGAGAGAACAACAAGGATTATAAGCTGCTTTATTTTATTAGAATATCCCGATAAGTGGATTTAAATGTTAGTTACTCTGATTTGCTAGCTTATGTGAGACACACGCTCACACGACAGCCTTAATATAATCCTGGACTACTTTAGTTGCAGTCAGTTATTAGTCTAACGTGACTCATTTTAAGCCAGTAAAGCCCACTGGACTGAGTTTGCTTTCTTTCTGTGATCTTACTGAGCCTCCATCGACCCATATAGTAGAGCTGTGTGCTGAGCAGCAGCGTGGCCAGAATGTGGATCACAGAGAAAACAATCCAGAAGGCTGTGTTGTCTCTCCCAAATACCTGAGAGGAAAAAAAACACAGCACAATGATTATTAAGAAATCCGTGTTTTTAGACCATAAAGCATAACTCAGGTTTTGTATTGTGTGTGTGCACTTACCACTCCCAGCACAGAAAAGAAGATGACAGCGGCGAGGCAGGCGTAAGCGGTGTAAGCGCTCGCGTTGATGTCCGGGTGTCTCTTCTGATAGAGCTTCAGCATACACAGTCCAGCAATCATGTACATGAAGGAGGTGTCTGCAGGGAGGAGAACAACTCAAATGTACCGCATGCAACTTGAACTTTTTTCAGCCCAGGACTCAAAGTAAACAGACAGAGAGACAAAAAAAATAATGCATTCACAAGATTTACAGCCAGCAGAAACTCAAGAAACTGGCTGAAGCAGTAAAAATGTAACCGCACAAAGAACTGATGCAGACTAAAGCCAGGAAACCTCATCTTCCTTTGAAGTGACAGCTGCTTAAAGCCAAAACTCTCTTCAGACTACTGATCCTGACAAAGGTAAAAACAACTGTAACCATGTCGAGTCTGAGTAAGGACACAATCGTTCTTACCAAACTGGAAGTTGGTGTAGTTGGGACAGACGTGGTAGCAGGCACTGAGCAAACCCTCCATCATCAGAGCAGTTCCCATGGCATAGAAGAGGCCAAAGTGCTTTGGGATACCGCACTCCTGAAGGAGGAAGAGACAACCTGATAACTAAACTACCGCTGTCAATCATCATCATCATCTAAATCTTTAAAAACACATCTTCATGACAAATGACTACACGTTTGTCAGTGTGCGTGTGCCTCACCAGCGCGTTGACGTCATGCCGCTCCAGAGCACGATTTTGGGCGAGGTCTCTCTTGAGGACGATGAGGAGAAAGAGGAGCCCCAGCATCACGTAACCAAGGTTACTGAGGATGTTGTTGAAAGCGCTGTGTGGAATTAGTTAATCGTTACTTTACGCGGGTTAGCTGATGACGTTGGACATGTTAACACACTGTGCTCGACTGCAAACCTTAGAGCTCCGAGCGGGTGGGCGCACAGGAAGTTGTAGTAGCAGATGTCCTGGTTTCCTGTAACATTGACAACCTGTGGAGAACAGAGATGCACACGTCGTATTAGCGAGCTGACGGCTTATCGGAATCTTTTTTTTTAAAAAAAGTGTCGCCATGCTTTATAAAATCATTGTTACCGTTTGATAGGTGATGACCAGCTGGACGACTGGCAGGGCGTAAAACACAGCAATCGTAGCAATGTTCCTGAAGAGGGTACAATTATTACTTTCAGCCACTCACAACCATCAGATCTGCAGCACTTCATTAATAATCAGTAATTTTTTTAATGTTTCATATAATGTCAAACTATGGCTTGGTTAATTCACTGTGAATTGATTTGGCTTAGATATAAAAGAATATCATGTTTCTTATCATGGGTGCAACAAGAGAACTCACCAGAAGTAGATTTGGTACTTCTTGCTGAGGATCCTCTTGTCTTTGCGGGCCAAGTCCGCCACGTACAGAAATTTCTGTAAGAGGAAGAAGAGGACTTTATTACTTTGATTACTTTATTAAAGTCTGGATGAAGAAAGCATTAACCTCGCCTAATTAATGTTCAAACTCTTTACTGCTGACAAGTTTTTTAAATTTGTGACTCTGGTTTAGAGGTTTAATATAACGAAGGAACACATTATTAAATTGTCTCTGTGCACTTGTTTCATTTGAGCTCAGTATGAGAATATCTGCTGCCCTGCTCTTCGTTTTACACTGTGTGTGCACGTGTGTGTGAGCTCAGAGCTGGCTTTTATGGAAGGGAATGCTGCTTGATGGTTTTGCTAAACCAGAAAGACCATGAGAAAATTTTGTCATTGGTCAGTGAGAAAAATACTTATGAGCCCCTGAAACGAGACCCAGGAAGTGGTTACAGGAAGAGGGTGATAGATTGTCTGAAGCAGTTAGAACAAGACAATGCTAAGTGTCATTTTCTCTTAAACGTCAGAGGGATACCTTCTACGGAATATGGTCTAAATGGACAGACTATGTTACGCATATGAGGTGTGATTTTGTGTATGATGTTACAACCCTGAGTTCTACGTAAACCTACCTGCCCTGCTGCCTCCTAACCCTAGTTTTGTTTGTTTGTTTGTTTGTTTGTTTGTTGTTGTTTTGGGGTTTTTTTTTGGGGGGGGGGGGGGGGGGGGGGGGTTGTTGTTTTTTTTTCTTCTTTTCTTTTCCTGTCTTCTTTATTTTTCAATTATAAGTTAAAATGTGACAGCAAAGAAAATGTAAAAAGGCAAACTACTGTTATGTTCAACAGCTGTCCCAATAAAAGAGATAATAATAATAAAAATTAAAAAAAAGAACAAGACAATGCTACTGACCGGACTTCATACCACAGGCTATACCCAGGAGAAGCTACACCAAGTCTGTATGGTTTACTGAAGAGACATAAACAGGAGGTAGCTCTAAGACCAATTGTCTGTATGATCAACTCGGTCACCTATAACATCTCAAAGTTTCTGGCTTCGACCCTCAACCCGCTGAACACCACATCCAGAACAGCTTGGATTTTGTTGAGAAGGTGAGAGATGGCATTATGGAGGCAGATGAAACAAAGGTCTTGTACGATGTTACATCTGTCTTTACTGAAG